GGCCGGTCGGACGGCATAAAAGCCGTCCGAAAACGACGGCCGGTCGGAACCGGTCCGTCCGGTTCGGCCGGCCGGACAATTTTTTTTTTTAAATTATTATGTTATATATTCGAAATAATTATGTTATAAATTGGACTATATTATTATGTTATAAATTATTATGTTACATTTTATACTTGATTATGTTATAAATTGTCTCATTGGTACAATTAAAATACAAAAGTAAGAGTGATTATTATATTTTTTAACAAAAAATTAATACTTCTAGCTTATTCATATACTTTTAATTATTAATGATTATTAAATAATATTAACTAATATTGTATTATGGTTATATAAATCAACTCTAATTATTATACTTTTATTCTTAATCTATTCACAATATGAAAATAAATTGAAATTGTGTATCTTTTTTTTTTTAATTATTATTTTTCAATTGAGACAAATTTATTTCTATATCCAATAACACATGTTGTTTGTTTTTATTTGTTATTAGCCAGATAGATATATTCATATATAATTGAATTACTAGTACGACACCCGTGTACTACACGGTTTGTTTGAAAAAAAAAAATATAAAACATAAAATAATAGACAAAATACATATTGTCATATAAAAGTGTAAAAATAGAAAATACCAAAATCGATATTATTTCAAATTTTGAAAAAAAAAATTTGTACACAACATTAATAGTTTTATTTACAATATTTTCATCCTTATCGCCACACAAAATTTTCAAGTCTCTCCTACTATAATATATAATATTAAGCAAAAAAAATTCTATTTACATGACATATAAGAATCCTATTTATTTTGGAGTTGGAGGATATCCGATTAAGCAAAAATCCTATTTATTAAGTATTTTATTTTAAACAATTAGAGAATGGAGGAGATTGGATTAAGCCAAAATATATTATAATATTAAGCAAAAATATATTATAAAACATAATTATAAATAATAAAATTAATAAATTTATAATATAAGTGTTAGGATAATTAAATATAATAAAATTTATAGGTGCTAGGATAATCAAATTTATAAATTTATAATTAATATATTTATAATTAATAAATATATTTTCATTTGTGATAGGATTTACACGTGCATTGGATTTTCATTAATAAATATTTCTTTTAAATATTTATTCGTGAGGAATAAATAATCTCTTGTTGGGAAAGCAATCCTATTTACACGGCATATAAGATAACAATCATATTTATTTTGGAGTTGGAGGGGATCGAATTAAGCAAAATCCTATTTATTAAGTGTTTTATAATATTAAGCAAATATCCTATTTACACGGCATATAAGATAAGAATCATATTTAATTTTTTAGTTGGAGGGGATTGGATTAAGTAAAAATCCTATTTATTAAGTATTTTATAATATTATAATATTAAGCAAAAAATCCTATTTACACGGAATATAAGATAAGAATATTTGTATTAATTTTATCCGAACCAAAAGCCGAAGCATGTAATATTACCAAGTAAGCTTCCGAAACGTGTTATTAGGCTCAGCACGTTTTGAAATTATATTAAATAAAAGGGGGATTCTACTAACGATTAGATCCATATATTTTGTTCTTAATATGTATGCATATGTAGATTAAAAAATATTATATGTTAGAAAGCGGAATGAATAAAACTATGATATTTAATATGTAAATATATATATGTTTTTATTGACATTAGCAAAATTTGTATTCTCTCTATCTGTTACTCTACATTTTACTCCGCATGAAATATTTTATTTATTTCTATTCTTTTAATATCAAGATATAATTACTTAATTGGACACATTATTTTACCCAACGAATATTTTTACAATATTGACTGTTATGCTACTCGTTTTAGATATTATTAGACAAAATAGATATTTAGATATTATTAGACAAAACAAATATTTTTTTTTACAAATTTTAGTTCATTTTATAGTTACTTAATCCAATATGTATTTTTTCAAAATAAATTTTGGCACAAGTGTTAAATTAAATGATAGTACTATTGGCATTTAATATACACTAGTATGAATTCCGTGCAGTGCACGGGTAAAAGATATTCATTAATATTTATAGATTAAAATTTTTTATTAAATAATATTTATAAATTAAAAATATTAAATCTATATGTAATAAAAATTACTTGTATTAATTTATTAAATATGTTATATAAAGTTAAAATTATGAAAAATTACATAAAAATGTCTACTTAAAATTAGTACACAACCCGTGTGGTGCACATAACTGATAACAAATTACATTATATTCGTTTCAAAATAAGCGTCATTTTAAAAATTTTTGTTTCGAAATTCGATTTGACTATAATGTGATTCCATAAATAGTTACTATTTATGAAATTCAATTTAGTAAATCTGAATTTTTAGGTGGGAAATCAAATATTTTTTTACTGATTTTTAGTTACTATTTCATGTAAATATCATTGTTTCTTTAGATATTAATAGATTTTGATAAATACATTACATTAAAACATATATAAACCAAAAAATAAATGATGCTGACGTTGCTGCATAGTTGCGCCATAACTGGTACAACATTGTTTATTGCATTATATTTATGGTGAAACTTAATGAAAAAAAGTGTGATTAATTTTTGTTAATAAATAAGTTAGAAATTTTATAAAAAGCTCATGACATTTATTTAAATACACGAAATCTCTAAAATAATTATATAAGCTAGTTAACTTATAATTTTGAAGATATTGCATCACAATTTCGAGAGATAAATTTTCTATTTCAAAATCATGTTTCAGTTTATATTTCATTCTATTGAATGAACAGAATAACATGTGTTAATAATATGACCACAATTATACATTAATTATTAATATATATATATTATAACTTTGAAATAGGAAAAACATTTTTCAGAGGCTATCCATAATACAACGTGAGATGATTAAATTAAATTAGGCAATTGGCCAATAACATGATGATTGCAACATGTAGTATCCAAGACAACACTCAACAGGTTGACGAAAA